TTTGTTTGTCATCAATAATAAATATGACAAGTCCAACATAGAAACTTTTCATTCATTGCAAGTCCAACATAGAAACTCAAATGTGAAGCTGGCCTAGTTGCTCCATTAAAGTTTAAACTTTGACGATGGATACCGGACAAGCAAAAGTTGTAAATTATGAACTGTAGGTTGTTTGAAATTTACTGCTCTTGAAGGTTGTTAACTCTATATATGTAAATAAGATATAAGTTGATGAAATCAGGACTGACTGCTCATTAAATGACTGCACATTTCCGGACCACTCTCCTTTGCAAAAATGCTGTTCACGTCTATGTTTCTTGTACTTCAAAGAAACGTAAGTTCACAAATACCTGGACTTACTGTTGATCACAAGTATGTCATATTCCTAAAGTCAGTTGTCGATGAGATATTTGCGTCTGACAAAGTTTAAGGGTTTTCTTTACAGTCTTACTTGAGTATTCCTTGAATAAAATCAAATTATACCAAAGCCATTAATTAGCAAACTACGTAAAACAAGATCTGCAAAAAGTATTTTTTTGGCGGTACAGAGCTTAAAAATGGCTTTGAAAAAAGCAAACATTTTATAACATATTGGCTATTATAACATTTAGAACATAAAACGCAGAAGGAGTTCGTTTTCTCTCTTGGACTCCAGTGGTAATTTTTCTTTAGGCTCGGGGCAATGATTGGTCAACTATACCGGTCTTGTGCTTGCGTTTTTCTGATTGGCCTATTTCGATCCACAACTGGGTATATATTTTCCATCATGTTCTTTCGGACCCTTATTCTGACTTTTTATGCTCTGAGGAGCGTCAGACGGAAAAGCTTTTAGCCAATATGTTGTAAAATGTTTGGTTTTTTCAAAGCCACATTTCTATTCTAGTCATTGCATTCACTGTTTCATAGAACTAAAACTGTAGAATATATCTCATTTGCATTGTAAATTAAAGTGATAATTTTTTTTTTCTTGATTCAGATTGTTTCACCCAAGAATTATGCCCCCCTCTATGGTCAATGCAACGTCAACCGAATTCCAGGTAAAACATGCATTACTGCTTGTCTTATGTTGATATGTTGCATTCTTCTTCAATTTTTGTAACTTAGGTTATAGGCAGTTGCTAGCTAATACAAAGCGTGCAGCCAACGATGGGGGAAATTTTCAACAACCAGCTGAAATTTTGAATAGAAACGAGCTGGAAAATTCTAAAAAACTGTATGAAAATTACCCTGAATAAAATTGCTCGTTTGACTGTCTACATTCTGTTATTGAGGGATTCGATATAGTAACACAGGTGCCAGGAAAATAAAAAATGTTTAAAGTAACTCAACCACAATGTTTTGAGTATACAGTTTAATAATTTAGATATAATTAGATATTTTGCCCCGTTTTACTCATAGTTTTGTAAGGCGGTATGCAAGGGGAGCTTGTTTGTTTACAGCTTGTTTGATGTTCCAAATTTTGTTAGTGATAGGTAAAGTTTTTGATTTTCTATGTTGCATTGTATCTCAGTATTGGAATTGAAAAGATTGTTATCAAATAATTTGCTCAAAATCTTTCTTTCTTACCGACATTGGTTTAGAATTTTTTCAATAGCAGTTTGATGTATTCTAGATCCAAGTTCGCGTCATAGAGGCACGAGATTTAGCTGGTATGACCCTCGATCCTGTTGTTACGATTACCCTCGGGGAAATGAAGAAGAATACGACAGTGAAACCTCAGACGAATAATCCAATTTGGGATGAGGTGAGATTAATAATCTGAGTTACGATTTGGTAATCCATACTTGGGTGGTGTAAGATAAGTAACTAAGATTAGTGGCTAATTGGCAGCTGATGGGCGGTTTAAAGTATGTCTCTAGTTATTCAGTTGTTTGCAGAATATTAATGTGTCCCATTGTTGAAAAGAGCAAGACCAAAATTTAGCATTTTTGTGGAAATTTGCAGGATTTCTTCTTCATAGTCTTTTGAACTAAACTTTCTTAAAGCTCTTCATTACTAGAAAAAAGATATTAGTTTGTCTCCTTTCTAAAGGTTATTGTTTTGACACGCTGTTTCATCACATGCTTTAATATTATTATATCTTTTGCGATGTTCTACTTTGGATATTTTTTACAGTTTCCACTTGGGTTTTATGTAGAGTTTAGAGCAATGTAGTTAATTCATAGCCTGTTTTCAAGTCCATCCCGAGTTGAATATCTTCTACAATTTAATGTTCTTCTACATGAATCTTGAAGTTTTTCTATGTGAAAAGGTCGCCAGGTCTTTTAATTGACCCGTTCTGAAGCATTTATAGCAAAGTAACACTATTTTAAGAATTAGTGCATTTTCACTTTTCGTCTTCAGTTTTAGTTTTTACTTTTTATCTTCCTTACATGAAGTATTTCTGCATGGAACTCATCATGACGGAGACCCAAGCACTGGATCAAATGCTCAAGTTCGATGTAAGTAAACACAAGAAAATATCATCAATGCACTGAGAACCGTCTGTCGCTCAATCCAATCACCTTATAATTGAAAGGATCAAAGAAAATTCGTGGGCCAGGGCTTATTCTCCCTCCAGCCTGCCCCCTCCAGCCTGCCCCCTCAGGCCTGCCCCCTCAGGCCTCCCCCCTCAGGCCTCCCTTTTCCGGCCTACAATCGTTGAGCATACATTCATTTAAACATGTTTTACTTAACACAAGCTGTGGGCTATAATGCACCTTGAAATGCTATATGAGATGGCTTCTCATTGTTGGTTGCATTTAAAACCCGTTCCTTATTAGAAGACTAGCTTGTGTAGACTGGATAATTGCATAGCTTTTTTACAAAGAACCAGGCGGTACTGAGCTAATCCACCGAGCTTCACACTTCTTTGCAACAGGCAACGGACAAAGTAGAATCGTACTATTCTCCAGACCAATCCTTGTATTAGACCCATCAATAGAAGACTGTTTAAATATAATGCATCTTCGATGTCATCTTTAAAGGTTTTAGTTTATCATCAAATTTGTTTGTTTGCATTTCCGTGCTTGAAATAAACCGCAATCTTTGTAAAGGTGATAAAATACCATAATCTGGAGACTAAGGCTCTCCGACAATCTTGTGCAAGTTTCTAGTTTTTTTTGGCAAACGGTGCTTAGTAGCCACTATGAAAGTGTAATATTCTAATTTTGTAACAAAGGGTTTTTTGTTATCTAGTTTCGTTTTTGCTGCTGCGAGAAGCTGTGAAGCCAGGAATTTTGATGCTTAGGGTATTTTATATTCAACGTCTGTTGACTGTGTATAAACGCTCTTTACCCGAAGACACCCCAGTTTATACAGGGGTGCATTTAAGTGCATGACCGTGTATTAAGGGTGAAATAGTTTATCCATTAACATTCTTTATCTATTATACAAGAACTCGATAACTTTCTTGAAGTAAGGTTAAAGTAAGATTGGAGGATTTATTTGACAATGTCTCAATTATGCACCCCCTCCCACCAGTGCTATGTTGCTATTTTTGCTACTAAAATGCATATTATCCGACTTTGAATAGAAGGAAGGGATAAGAAATAGCAGTATGAGAGAATGACACCTACAGTACGAGAGGGTAAAAAGGGTAAAAAGTGCTCTTGTAGAGTTGAATAAAACAGGCATTTTTGATAAACGTTTTGGCAGGGCCGTCGAGAGACGGGCCGGGCCCCAGGGCTGGGACTGTCATGGGGCCCCACAGTCGAAGGCTGCAAAAACCTTTTTTGGATTACGCCCTTAGCAATGCAGTTAGATGGACTGTAAAAGGCATGAATTTTGAAATCAACGCCACTGAAACACTTGAATTTGTATTTTAAGGTCTTTAACAGAACATGTAATTAGTGACTATATAAAACAAATCATTAAAACAAATCAGTTTAAAAATCAGAGTTAATTTAATGTTTAAAAAACTGCTTTTCTTGCTTTCCTCATGGCGAAATCCTTAATCTTTTCCCACAATCGTTTCCAGCTGTCGTTCGCTCCCCAACCATCAGGAGAAGCCAATTTTGATTTTGAACCATTATTAATAGTGTGCTTGGCAAACAATAGAGTGCAGCCTTTGTAGGACTGAAAACAAGCCAGCTTCTTCTTACTACCTCCCAATTTTGCTGCTTCACATTAAGGACCGTTGTTGGAAATTTGTGGCCGTCGCAATCTTTGGGAAACTCTGGAGGATGAGGCAAATGACCAGTTCTAACAACCTTTTCTAACTCCTTTATCGTTGGAAATCCGGTCAATGTGCCGATATCAAAACTAGATGATCCACTATGAACAGTATCTTGATTTAATGACGGATCAGTAGTGCTTTCTCTACTTTCTGGGGTGTCATGGTCTACCGAAGCAGCCAAGCCGTTTGTGTCTTCTTCAGCGGTGCTTTGAACAGAGCTTTCACCAGGTTTATTTAAAGTTGAATCACCTTCCTTGTCTCTTTTGTAAGCACCTACCTCAAACAATGTGCGAGAGGCTTTCTTGCTTCTTTTTCTCGCATCTTTTTTCCTGCCTTTTCTGAGCACCAGACTTGTGCCTGTAAGATGACATCGCAGGGGTTGGTTGGATCGTGATCCCGCTTAGTGATTTTGATAAAGACTTTTATAGCGTTTGGATTTGTCTTGGTTCTTCGCATGTGCTTTTTCTCTGGTGTACGCCGTGAATGGAAGATTTAGTTTTACGTTTATAGGAAGTCCACACAAGGAATAACTAAAACATTTGACCTAAAAGTAGATATATGTAAGTGCAATCGAATTTTTCGGCTTTCGGAGAAGTATATTGTGATCGTATCGTCAATGTTTTAATTATAAACCTTAACAAAAAAAGGCCCTCATCATAGACCAGCTTGTTGACCCCTTGTTGAAAGAATGAATTTCGAATATCAATCGGGTCATGGGCCCGCCCTGCCAATGCTGTTAATTGAAAACTCATAGCCAAAAATACATACCTTATTTTCTACGGGCCCCTCAAGGCCCCGGGCCCCCTGGTAACTACCCTGGTTACCCCCCCCTCTCGACGGTCCTGCGTTTTGGTGCTTTTTCCACGAGTTGCCCCACTGTCATTT